AAATAAGATCTCCCTGGATAATAAATTCAATTAGGCTTTTGAGTGCATGCACTAAAATAAGCTCTCCCCTGAAAATAAGATCTCCCTGGATAATAAATTCAATTAGGCTTTTGAGTGCATGCACTAAAATAAGCTCTCCCCTGAAAATAAGCCATCCCTGAAAACATTGCAACACAGCAGCAGCCATGAAGTGACCATGCTCGCTGCCTCCTGCCCCTCAAAAATAATTAGATCTCCCTGAAAATAAGGCCAAGTGCTTATTTCAGGGGTCAAAAGAAAATAAGACCCTGACTTATTTTCAGGGAAACATAATACATATGAGTTTTATTGAAGCTTTTAAAAATAAGATAAAAACTAATATACAGGACAGAAAAAAGAGAAAGAAATAAAAAAAACAAAAAGCTCAAGACAAGAAAAGAAATTGAAGAAAAATAGAAAAGAAAGGAAAAAAAAATACAATGAAGTGGTTTTCTATTTTCTTCACAGCAGTTATATTATAAGTCCGCTTTCTAAAGCTATGCCATATTGCCCTTCTTTCTATAATCTGTCCCATTTAATCATCATTTTTTATCCAAATATTTCTGTGTAAATTAAGAATATTTTGCTAAAAAATATTCTGCAAATTATTAAAGTGGTATTGTTGTTTTATGTAAATTGGTTATGTGCGATAGTTATACCTTGTGATTCAGGTTTTCCAAAAACAAACCCCACTGCTTGAGTTTGAAAACTTGTCAAAGGTCATTGCATATTAATCCAATATAGTTTTTTAAAAATATGGTCGATTAATTTCAGTGGACCATATTTCCAATTGCATTTCAAGTAAAATTATGGCTTTAATATCCCTATCCGTCATAAGTATGCATTCCTTGCTTGCCATCATGCATTCAAGAATTGGATCATTTTGGGAGGAAGATATACTGTTTGTATGCACATAGAAAGTATGTACATAATTAAAGATACATGTGATGAGAGAAAATTCATTTTAGCATGTTGTGAATAGTGTTCCTCTGACTTGACCCTGTATCTGTTACTAAAATCTGTACACCTTAATAAGGCCAATATTTTGAAGAAAATAAAATCTCCAGTTTTACAACTCTGCTGTACATAGTTATCTGTTCTTTTTATTTGCACTATTTATTTGGCTAGCCTGAGTTAGCTATGCTTGATTCCACAATTTCCTACAGAATATTACCTAACTACTAACTGTTTTTATGCAAACATGTTTCAAAGTCCTTGCTGTAACAAACATTCCTAAACGTGGATAACCAGAAGTTCAGTACCTTCAATGACGTCACCATGTTAATATTTCAGAAAAAAACCCTAAACTTCTAAGAACACATCACAATAGAAACTTTGTATTAACTTTACAACTGTTTAGATTTCTATATTTCGTTAAAAGAATCTGGGTAGTTTGCAGAGGGGCCTGGAATTCTGTTAACGGCTTCTAATAACCTGTCTACAAATCTTTCATTATTACTTCCCTTCCGGTTGGGGCAGCTCTTAGTAATTTTGGCTCATTCCTATATGTTAGTTCCCGGAGTTCCTAGCCAGCATAGCTAAAGGCTATATGCAATTTAAACCGGAGGTGGGTTGCTACTGGTTCGCACTGGTTTGGGTGAACTAGTAGTGGAAATTGGCACTTGCTCGCTGAACTAGTAGGGACGGCAGGCTGGACACGCCCCCGAACCAGTTTCCCGGTTGCTATGGCTGTTGCCGACTTGCTTTTTAATCATTTTTTAATGTTCTGCACATGATTAAAAAGCAAGCTGGCAGAGGAGCCTCTGACGTCACAACAACACGACATGGATCTTGGAGCTCCAAGATCGCAATCGATACTTTTGCTGCTGGACGGTCCTTTTGGACCTAAACTGTCCCGAAGAGATAGTGATAGGGAAGAGTACGTCCTGCTGATCTCAGGGACTCCACGAAGTCGCTGATTGATCCAGGAGAATCTCTTTTTGCTGGTGACAGAAGCGCAGCCATTGAAGCTGCTGAAGTTGGGACANCTTAC